GGGCTGCAGCAGGGCTGGGGCGGCCGATGCAGATGAGGTTTGGTCAGGCAGCTCTCGGGGGCACTGGGCTCTCACCCCACAGCAAGGGAGTGGCCCTGGTCACTGGGTTGATTTGGAGACCAGACGTGACCCTGCCCAGCTCGGGGGGGGCAGCAGCCGCAGGGCTCGGGGCTGGGGAAGGCAGGAGCAGCTCAGACACTCAGTAGTCTGCAGGGGGACGGGCACAGAGGAGGGGGCGTCTCCCCTCAGTCCCACTCGGGCACTGACCTTCAACAGCACTCGAACACCATCCGTCCAGATCCACTGAACCTGGCAGCGCTCAGCTCCCCCCAGCGCATGGTATACACTAATCTATACATGCCTGACTGTATATTATATATAAATAGACTTTGCTTTAAGGAACTATAGGTTTTTTTCTTCCCTCAAAAACAGAAAAGGGTCAGTCCAAACCAGTAGAAAAGCCGGGGCTCCCCAGCTCTCACCTCTGCACCAGAGGACGTGACTCCACAGCGGCCAAGCATCGCCTGGAGAGCCCAGGGGGCTTTCAGAAGTCTGGGAAAGGGCCGCTGAACTGGATCACGCTCTGGCGCTCCTGGGGAAGCATGTTCTCCTGGGGGGCCCCGTTCAACGTCCTCAGCATGTCCTCCAGGACCTCTCTAAAGTTGATATTCCCATCCTGCTGGACAAAATCTTCCTGCTGCTGCTGCAGTGCCTGCAAAGGCGCCGGGTGAAGCAGAGGCAGGGGCTCGTGCAGCGCGGAGCTCAGAGGCGCGCTCCCCTCCAGGATGGGTGCTGGGCTCTTGAAGGCTGAGGGGTGGCTGAAGCCGAAGGGCACCCCGTGCTGCTGGTTGGGCTGGAGCACAGGCTCCGAGGGGAAGCAGAGCATGCCGGGCTCCGGGTTCATCACCATGTCGGGAACGCTGTTGCTGGGTGGGCTGTAGGTCAAATCCAGGATCTCGTCCTGGTGCAGCGTGTGGCGGGGCAGGGGCAGCCCGGGCGCCGTCTGCGTGAGGTCCAGGGGCTGCGGCAGGATGTGCAGCGGCAGCGAGAACTGCAGGCTCTGCTCTTGGGCCTGCAGGAGTTGGTTGTGCTTTCGCTTCACGTTCTCGTCCATCTGCTTCAGCTCCTCCAGCACCTTGCGGACACAGCTCTCAGGGATCTTTATACCTAAGGGAGGAACACGCATCAGTCCCCACCGTGCTGTGGGAAGTGATGGGGCGCAGGGCTGCAACCAGAGCAGAAACGGCTCCACAGCAGGTTCATGGCAGGCAGCAACAGCACCGCTTCACACAGGCACGGAGGGGACAGCTCAGAGCTCACACGCTCTGCCCGGTGCCCAGACACACGTCAGGGCAGCCCCAGCTCCCCTCCTCCCCATGGGGTCACTTAAGCAGTGGGTGTTTCCAGGCTGGGACAGCCCTGTTTAGGAAGGGAATTTGGGCACTGGTCAGCTTGATCCCTTCCTCCTCCTCCTCCTAAAATCCCCTGCTCCCCTTCCCAGCATTTCACCCACCGACTTGTTTCTTCTTCTCCTTGGTCTTGAGGCGGACGATCTGCAGGTAGCTGCTGTTGGTGACATCTGCCATGATGCTGGCGATCTTGCTCCAGACACGCAGCAGGGCCCCGCACAGCATGTAGTAGTGGCGCAGGCGCATGCCCTGGAAGCACTCCTTGCCCTCCTGGATCAGCTTGCAGCTCCTGTTCCTTCAGTTCGAACGGGAGAAACCCACCCAGATCAGCACAGGCTCCCACGGCAGAGCGAGATCCCCCCATGGCAGAGCGGGATCCCCCCATGGCAGAGCAGGATCCCCCCACGGCAGAGCGGGATCCCCCCATGGCAGAGCGGGATCCCCAGCGCGGTCCTTCCCTTGCCAGGGACCCTGTCCCCAGCACCAGCTTTGCCTTGGGCAGGGCAGGGGAGGGGCAGGGGCTGCGGGGGTCTTACCAGACGGCATGGTTGCAGTTCTTCAAGGAGAAGTGGTAACTGTTCTCCCAGTGCTCCTTGGCTTCCTCGGGCAGCACCTGCAGAAGCAGCACACAGCGATAGAGACCTTCCACTGCTCAACATGTAGCTGAGACTTCAACTCCAGGGCTGGGAGTCAGAACATGCGGATGCTACCGTAGTCTCTGCCCAGCCGACAATAGAGCTAGGAGGAGCTGTGCAGGGGCTGCAGTGGTGTCTGTCCAAAGGCAGCCCTGCCCACAGAAAAGCTTTTCCCTCTGCTCACACTGAAGGGCTGCAGTTCCCACCTACCCGCCGGTACTTCTTCTGCAGACTGTCCAGGCTCTCAGGCTGGCTTTGCTTCCCAATATTTGGTTTGTAGAGTATGAAGTTCTTCCCGCGGCTCTGCTCGGCCAGCAGACACGTGTGTTTGGAGCCTCGCATCTGTCGGGGCAGAGCTGATGGTTACACTCCCAGCCTCAATCCCCAAAGCCAGATTTCTCTAAAATAAGCCCCTTCCTTCCAGGTGGTGGTTCCTGGAAGCATCTCCCAGACCCCAGCAAGAGGTCAGCACAGAGCTCTGACAGCCATGGGGGGATCTTCTCCCGCTGGAGACACCCTCCAAACTGAGCTGTACCCTGGCAGAGCCCAGGGATCTACCTTGTAGGAGAGATAAAACCCATCGAAGGATCCTGTCAGTTTGAGTGACTTCTCATAGGCTTCCTCCCACTTCAAGCCTCTGTCGACACTGATCTAAACAGGGACAAACAGAGGGATGTGAGACTGCAGGGGACAGGATGAGTGCATCAGTGTCTGCCTCACTGATCACACCCCCAACACAAACTCGGTGCTGCTGCCTCTCTGTGTAATTCCCAGCACCAGTCACTTGCCTACGACCAAGGCAGATGCGACACATACAAGACACAAAGCCACAGGGCACTGGGGGGAACCCAGCGGCTCTCAGACCCAGACTGGGAAGCACTGGAGAAGACTGGATTGCAGAGAGAGCTGTGCAGGTGCCTACCTTATAAAACACGACCTGCCCGTCCTGCGGGTGCCCAGGGGTCAGGAACACCTCCTTGCTCTCCTCGTAGATCTCATCCACTCCCGGGGCTAAATCTGTAGGAGCAGGAAAGACGGTGGTAAGGTACACCACCTTCCCGTACCACCGCCTCTCCCTGCAGGAGTCTCAAGATCCATGCTGCGTGGGGACACCGCAGTGCCCGAGATGGCCAGGGAACAGTCACCAGTCAACACAGGGAGGAGCACAGAACCTCAGGGGTGCAGGAGGGAGGGGTCTGGCCACCCCTTTCTCCGTACCTAGGATGCCCATGTCGTATTTGCCTTCCTTCTTGTCCTTTTCAATCAGATAGTCAAAGGTGTCAGAAAAGTACTGGAAAAGCATGTTCTGCTTGTCCACCTCCAGACCCAGGATGCGGTTCAGGAACTTGGTGATGGAGCAGTCTGCAAGAGCACAGCGGGTCAGGAAACACGGCACAGCTGGGCACAGAGCTCACCAGCACGCTCCCAAAGAGCCACCCCACAAGGCACCATGTCCCTTCCCAACAGCAGCGCAGCACTAACACACGCGAGAGCAGCACAGCACTAACACACAAGCACAGCCCAAGGCTGTAGTCAGCTGCTGCAGGGAATGTGACTTCAAGCATGGGCTGGTCCCTGCAGGACCCTTCCCTCAAAGAAAATCCTGCCCCAGCTGCACAGCAACCCCTCGGGGCTGTGCTCCCACACAGACGGACTGGGTGGGCCATGACACCCCCACCTCTTTCATTTCTCCCCTACTTTAGGCAGAAAAAACCTGATACATACCCTTCTCCACAGAGACAGTGCCATACTTCATCTGATTGCAGCAGATCCCCACGGAGACGAGCCCCTGCTTCATTTCTGGAATGGCAGAAGACAGCTCATGGGTTTGAGGGTTCAGGCTCCCCTCAGCAGTCCTGCAGGGCTGAATTCCCCCAAGCTACATCCATTATGTCACACTAAGTCTCTCCCAGATCCTTTCCCCCCATGCCTGGCAGGGGGATGCACATCTGGGTGACCAATGGCCCTGCTCACTACGGAGCTGCTAACCCAGTGCTGCCGTTCCATCTCTGAGCTTCTGCTCGGTTCTTCAAGCATCCCGAATGTGAGACAGACCCAGACAGCAAGACACAGCAGAAACTGCAGAGCTGATCATGTTCTTACCATGGAAAAATGCAGCCTCCCCTCTGTCGTAGCTCTTGGGCACAGGAACTCTGTTCTCCGTGTGGTTGAGGATGGTGGAGAGGACTCTGTCCAGTGCTTTAGCCCCGTACTGCAGGAGGAAACAAGAGTTGGGCACGGGACCAATCCACATGGGCAGCCCAGCTGTGGGCTGAGCATCACAATCCTGCTGGCCCTGCAGAGAAAGCCACTGCCCCCAGGAAAGGCTGCGGACCTGGTGGCTGTGCCAGGGGGGAGCTGTGTGCCAGAGGCCTCCCCATCCCAGAGGACCAGAGCATGGGAACCTGCACGGATGCACTCCAGCTCCAGCTCCCCTGGGGACAGAGGCCCAGTGCCCTTCCCAGCTCCCCAAGGGAGCACAGTCCCTGGTGGTCAGCCACACGATGCCGATGACTGGCTCGGTTCTGGGTGCTGTACGCGGGGTGCAGGCGGGGAGCTGGGTGCTAGGCCAGATCCTGCCTGCAGATGCCAGCAATGGTCTTCCTGGCTCCAGCTCTCACCTAAGGCACTTGCAAACTACCAACCCTCCCTGCCCCAGGAGATCAGCCCTGCGTTACCTTATTCTCAAAGTTGTACTTGCTGAGGTCTCGGGACTCCGTGGCCCGGCGGTCTCCGTGAGTTAAAGCGCCCTAGGAAGACCAAGTAGAAAGCTCTTACTTTCAGCTGCTGCAGAACCCCAGGGAAGGATGGGCAGAGAGGCCAGGACAAGACCTGTGGGGAGGCAGCGTTCCTCTGGAATACTGAGACTTTACCAAAGTATTTGGTGATTTATCGGAAGTGGAGAAAAATGAAACAGAGACCAGTTAATTATTCCATCAATTATTTCACCAGCTTTCTGGAAACAGATGGGTGTGTGCTCCTGTAACAGTGGGGGAATTCCAGCATCTGGAATTGGGTTCTGCTTCCTTGAAATTCCTCCCGATGCTGTGGTTACGTATTCTTCACTTCCTTTCCCAAACCCCAGGATGCTGAAAGCTTTCTGCATTCTGCAACTGCGACGCCTTCAGCCAGGGGTGATGCAATCCCCTGTACGTTACAGTGGCCATGCCAGGGGGAAGACCGAAACGGGAGCTCTTCAGAGACCACTGGAACTGAGATGTTAACCTCTGCTGGGGGCGCTTACCAAGCTCTCCAGACGTTTTGCCACGATGGATGCAAACCTCCTCTCCCCGGCCAGCTCCGATATAAGGAACACATACTCTGGAGCGTAAACCTGGTTTGATCGGTGCGTTCGACCTATGGGGACACAAGAACAGTGGTGAAAGGAGGGGTTGGTACAGGCCGTCTGCGACGGGAGCAGGTGAGAGCCAGAACAACTGCCCATGTCATGGCTGGTTTTCAAAGGGGAAAAAGGACAATGAGAACAAACATCGGAGCCCTGTGCTCTGCAGGGTGCCGCATCTCAGAAGCTGAACACAGCCACAGCTGCAGCACGAGTCCGGCTCAGGCGGCCACACGCACCTTTCCTTCCCAGGGCTGCCCCAGGCCTCATGATCTGAATCACACCCAGGGGACAGGGACAGTGACCAGGAGCACTAAACTCTCACCAAACTGCTGTATGGCCCGGTCTGCGCTCCAGGGCAACTCCAGTGTCATGTGGACACGGCGCTTCTGGTTCTTCACCCGTCTGTCTGCTTGGAGAGAGATACCCGAGCTGGAGGCCTCGGAGATTATTGCTACAAGCTACAGGAGAGAGACAAGGAAGAAAGTGGAGTGAGATTCCTGGACATCTGCAAAACTGCTTCAAGAAACAGCCCAAAGTGCAACTTCCCAGCCCGTGAAGTGACCCAGGGATCCTCATCCTCTCCCCACAGGTCCAACAGACAGAAAGCTGCAGAGCCCTATTGGCCTGAGGCTGGCAGGGCACAAGCATGCAAAAGGACCCTCCCTTTCCCTCCCCTCTCAGTGTACCCACTCCTGTGCAGGTTTGGAGGTTTCCTTGGCTCAAACCCCACTCACCTTCTCCCCTTTCATGAAGCGCTCCTTCTCCTTCAGGTTGACGTGGTCTATGGAGAGGCCTTGCTCTGCACGAGACTCAAACACGACGGATCCGTCCGGTCTGCAAACAACCCGGCCCTTCCGCCCCGTCATCTGCACACACCACACAGGAGAGAGGCTGTCAGAGGGGAGAGCCCTGCATGGTACGGCGAGTCAGTTTAGAAACCCAATTCTCAACAGCTTTTTCAGACTGCAAGGAAGGAGAGGAAACCCTCTTCAGGCAGGAACTCCCTTTGCTGGCCCCTTTCCTGTCTCCCCACGTCACCAAAATACACTCCCAATTGTGAGAAGTACCTCAGCCACGTGCTCCGGGCCCCCAAAGTGATTGATGAGCTCATCCAAGGTATTGAGAGGTAGCTCTTTGCCCAGTGCTTTTACTTTTGCTAGGAGGTCCTGCTTCATCTTCTCCACGTGTTCTAGTTCTCTCAGGCCATGCATCTCCTGAAAATTATCTGGAACACAACATGCAAAAGTTTAGAGTTCCCTGGTAACTGCAAATCAGAGAGGGAAAAAAGCCATCCCAAAGGGTTGCTGGGGGCACTTTCTGATGAGAGACAAAGACACCTCGACTTTAACTAACACTGCTGAGCTCAGGGAATTCTCTCCGTGCTTCCCCCTGTTCTGGTGGGGAAAGGAGCACGCGGGTCCTTCCTGCTCACTGACCGCAGCAGATTAACATGAATCAACCTCACACGGCCACTTTGACCGTTGCAGGATAAAACCTGAACAGGCTCATGAGGCTGTGCCAAGCACAGGAGCTTCACTGCTTCAAGACGACACTAAGAGTCTCCTTTTATCAGCTCAGTGCTTCTGCAGTGCCCTGAGCTGGGCTGTCCCCAGAAGGGTCCCCTCTGCTCCGCCGCTGTCTGTGCCTGCAGGGCGCTGGGGTGCGAGGCTGTCTCCAGCCACTCCCCTGCACCGGGTGCTCTGCAGAACCAAGTGACCCCGGTTCCCAGCTCCCCCGACAAGGAAGGAGCCAGCCCCGTGCTCTTGCTCTTACTTCTGGGCTCGGCTGTGAAGCCATTGTAGGTGTGCTCCACGAAGATGACATCGTCCGTCTCAAACACGGACTCCGGGGAGGAGTTGAAGTCGCTGTCGAGCCCCATGTCGGAGTCAGTGCTGCTGTCGTCGCTGATCTTGATGACACCCGCGGGGTCACACACGCCCTTCAGAGACTTGGCGCAGCGGCCCCTTGGCTTCCCTGCGGGAGAGAGCGAGCGGCGTCAGGGGAGAGGCCCCAGCCCTGAGCATCAGCACAGAACAGCGAGTGCCAGCTCAGACAGAGCAGGAGAAATCACAAAACAGCCGAGATTGCCCCAAACGAAAGGCTGATCTTGGAAAGACAGAGCCTCTTGTGGGGGCAGTTAGGAAGGGAAGGCAGGGAGGGAGAGAAAGGAAGAGAGAGAAAGGAAGAACAAGGCAACCTCGACCAGGGTTGCAGCAAGCTGCACAAGTTAGGATGCACACACAGCCAGCTCCAAGCAGCAATGACTCCTCACGGGAGGGGTTGCCAGGTTTGGCTGCCTCCAGAAGATGCCAGCATTATGGGACACTGTTCACCTCCAAGCACGCTAAGACAAGCCCTTGCTGCGTGAGAGGGTTCCCAAAGCAGCGTGCACAGGCTGCTCTGCCACTGCAGCCAGTCAGGACAACCTCCACAATCTGCCACTGCTGCTGTCCCCATCCTCCCCAGCCCCACATCCCACTGCAGGAGAAACCCCAAAACTCTCCTTACCTGCAGCCACAGCCAATAATTTGGCAGGGAAGTGATTATTTTTATTTCCCCCCCAGGACACTGGCCATGCTATAAGTAAGGGGTAGTGGAGAACCCCTCCTCGCTGCAAGAGGGCTCCAGCTGCGCAGGCAGGGTCCTGTGCTCTGTCCCCAGCCCGGGCCAGGAAGGGAGAGGGCAGAGCTGTGGGCAAGTCGTGGAGGAGAGGGCCTGCGCTGGGGAAGTGGGTTAGGGGGAGGAGAAGTGGATGAGCTCGAGCTGCATCCTCCGGATGAGCGAGAGTGATGGGAGATGCGCGGGAGGGCAAACCGAAACCAGGGCAGAGCAGCAAAAAGCATGGAGGAGGGAAAAGGGAAAAAGGAAAAGAAAAAGCTGAGTGCTGGGGTGAAGCAGCAAGGCAGGAGGTCAGATGCTGGGCAGTGGAGTGTGCTCTTACGTTTTCTTTTAATGCCAGTTCCTTTTTCTCTCTTTCTTTTGGTTGAAGGAAAGTGCTTCTGAATTAGTGATAGAAAGACGCCTCTGAAAGTAAGATGCAAAATTTATTCTAGCTACCAGGAGCAGGAACACGTGCCAGTTATCATGTAGCAATGTGCATTGAGACAGCACCACATTTCATGAAAGAGGGGTACATCCTGCACCACAACCACTAGCGCGGGAGCAGCCACTGGTACGGGGTGGCTCTCCAGAATGACAGCACTGGGACTGAGCATGTGTCACCAAAGGGCTCTGCCATGGGGTGTGGGCGATACGGGGGTGCTGAGGGACGGCAAAGCACCGCAACGCTGGGAAAACCAGTCCCTGCCGTGGGCTCCCTGTTCAGGGAGACGCTGCAGCAGAAGCAGAGCAGACCCTAGGCTCTGCGCTGCCGCCTGTCATGCCAAAGTTATGGACCTTTATAGAGCAACTAAGAGTGTTTTAGATGGGAAATGCTATACTGGGAAGCTGTTGGATCACTGGTGAAAAATCCAGTAAGTCCCAGTGCCCCAGCCCCTCTCCGTGTTCCAACAGCAGCCACCAGTGCTGTCCAACAAGCGAGCTCCAGGTCCTCTGAGTAACGGGACATGGGCCTGCTTGCCATGAAACAGAGCAAAGTGACAAAACACCGATACGTAGTGTTTCAGGTGAATGGAACAACTCAGAAGAGGTGGGAAACAAACGTTTCTGTGGGCTGTTCTGCAAATAAAAGAGCAAATGCTTAAATGCTGATCATGTTGGGTGGGGACGAAGCCCCGGTGCAATGAAAAGGCAGCGCCAAATGAGCTCGGGTTGGAAAAAAACCAAAACGTTGGAAGCAGCAGCTGAGAGGGATGGAGATGACAACTCGCCTGTGGGAGAAACAGGGAGTGTGGGGAGGCGGGAAGGGGGCTCCAAGACCCCTGGTGCGAGGGGCTGAGGGAGGCAGAGCCCTGTGCTGGCTGCTGAGTGACTTCAACTGCATCGTACCAGGGATTGCCCTTTTGTCCTGGGTGCTGGGCTCACCCGGGCTCAAAATGCAAAATCTCTCAGGACTGGAGCCTCCCTGCCATCAAACCTCGCTCCTTTTCCCAGCATTTGCACTCCCTGTGAACCAGCCTGCTTGCCCTGGCAGTCACTCCCTGAACAATCTGTTTATTTTTAACCCATTTCTCGGCACCCTCTCAACAACTGCTTCTTCCCGGCACGCTCCCCTCAAGAAATCCCCAGAAGTGCCGTAAACCCCAGACGCCGCAGTCGGAGGCTCAGCAGATGCCAGGGACACTCCATGATCTCACCAGTCTGCTGGACAAAGAGTTCCTGCCCCCACAATGGGGATTGAGGCGGGGAGGGTTCATGCTCGCTGACAGACCCCTGCTCCTTTGATGGCTGAACCAGGCTCAAAGGGACCATGCAGTCTCCTATAGACCCAATTCCTCTGAATTCTGTGATGCAGCAGCCAGTCCAAGAGACAAAACCAATCCAGGCAGCTGCTAGACTTGCCCTGCATGCTGTCAACCTGGAATTTGTTTTTCAGGAATGGACTGGAGACAGCGGAGTGACACAGACCAACACAGCCCCTCCATTAATACAAAAAATAGGAAAGCTGTGCCTAAACCCGACACTTACTGTCTCTGCACCTCTCATTGCATTAACAGTCACTTCAAAAGAAACCTGTAACAGCCCTGCCACCTGCAGAACAGAGGGAATGCAGCTCAACCCCATGTCCCAGGGTTTTGACACCCATCATGCAGGAACAGCCACGTTCAAGGGATGGGCTGGTATTTTGGAAGCTGCAGAAATGTGGGGGAGCACAGGCCTCACTCTGCCAGAAGGGCAGCAGGAGTCCAGCTGCTGCCTTCACTTCAGGCACAACCAGTTCACCTCTAGCTGGGAGCAAAGGCAGCGCAACCATGACACTGCAGAACCTGGCAATCAAATGTGTCCTGCCTCGAACACTGCCCCCTGGACCTCTCCTTCCTCTCACTGCTCCAGCAATGCTGTTTCTCATCACCACTTCAGCCCTTGTCTGAGGTTCTCTTGCTCGTTTCTTCCTTGTCGACAGCCCCATCTTCCAGAGCCAGACCCGCACAAACCACACCTGAGCTCACACTTCTGGCCCTCCTGACCCTGCCAATCCTCTGGTGTGTGTGCAGTGCAGGATCAGGCTGTTCATGCAAGCCTGGACCACGGGAGATTTCAACACCCAGGATCAAGCTCATGAGGGCCCACTGAAGAAACAGCACCTCAAAGACCAAGCTAAGCATCCTATCCTTTACAGCTTGGACAGGGTGAAATGTTATTCAACTACATTTCAAGAACTGGGAGTGATAAGCAGCCGTAGGGCAGGACTCTCACCAGCAACCTCCAGCCTCCCACCCACCCCAGCAGCAAAGCAGGGATTTTAACTCACTCTGCAGCAGAGACAAAGCAATTCAAATGCCCGTCGTTCTCATCCAGGACCTCTCTGGTGCGAGCCTCCCCGGTGGACTGCAGGCCGATGACAATGCACTGCAGGAAGACACAGGGGACAGCACAGCCGGCGTCAGGGAGGGTCGTACGGCGTCAGGACAAACAGCCACAGCTCAGGGCATTTCACAGCGGCACTGGGCAGTCCCAGGTCCTTGGACCCTGCCCCAGTATTTGCTGGGCTCCCGATGAGAAACATCTCAACGCATTCAGCATCCAACACCACAGCCCTGCTCACACTAGAGAGGATGACTCTGATACAGAAGCTGACTTCACTCAGGAGTTTCTAAAATTTCCAAGTTGCATCCAGATGGACACAAGGACAGGGCTGTGCTAGAGGTGAAGGATCTGGTACCTCCTCTAGCTTGAACGTGACCCAAAATACCCTCTTAGAGAAGCCTGCCCACATCTACCACAAACGAACAGTGGACAATGCTTCAGAAGACAAGGCCACATTAACTCCCCAGGACCATTTACCATGAATGTTCTCAGAAACTCAGACACTGCACTTCATTCTAGTTAATCTGGAAAGAAATTCAGCCTTCTAGAGGTTTGAAATTGCTTTCAAGCCAAGCTGAACAATAATTAACTCCTTCTGGTTGCAGACTACAAAAGAAATCACGTGTAACGCAATACCGATGGCCGCTGCCACCACGTGAGGCTCTGTACCGCACCTTGTCCTTCGCCAGCTCCTCCCTGGCAAGCTCGACGAGTCGCCGGACCTTAGCAGCAATGCAGAGATACTTGAAGAAGCGCTGGTGAGCCGACCAGAACTGGCCCCACAGTGACTTCCGAGACTCCAGGCCGATCCAGTCGGCCGCCTGCTGGAACACGGTCAAGGCCTCTGCCCACTGCAGACAACGCCGAGAAAGCCCGAGTTAATATCATGGGTTTCATTTTCACTGCAGCTGTGCAGGAGGTTATCGGAACAGCCTGGGTTTGATGATCTGATTTAACATCAGTGTTTGTGTCACTGTGTTGTGTTGGGCTGAATGAACAGTCTGGTCATTCTTTCTTTCTGTGCTAGCACAGCGTTACGAGATCTGGTTTGCAAATATGGAACTTTTAAATAGAAGCAAAAACCATAAGATTCTTTTTGTAAAAAAACAAATTACATTTTGTAAGCTGAGCGTGTGTGCCCCTTTTTTTTCTTATAAATGTGGCCTTAGCCACGTTCAGGGTCCTCACACCCTCCCGCATAACAAGTGGCCATGCCCAAAGAACAGTTAAACACCAGCGTCCCCAGTGCAGCAGGACCAGCTCACCAACTTGGCTGCCTTGTCGTAGACAATCCTGTACTGCTGGTCCAGCGGGATCTCCTCGATTCGGAAGGTGACTCCAGTGAAACTGAGCTGCCTGGCAATGTACATCCCACTGACCTTCATGTCCATCGCCACGATCTCCATTGCACCAACTCCCCTGGGGAAGAGGATGTGGTGAAACCCCTTCCTCTGTGCAGAGCCACCACCTCCCGGCTCCAGCTGCCCCCAGGCACCGTTCTCAGGCATCGCAGCCACCTCCCAAAGGCTGCCACAGTATGAGCCACATGAAAAGGGATGCTGGACATGACTTACCTCTTCTCAATCGCATGCAGGAACTCATCAAAAGCTCTGAAAGGGGTGCCCTCCCCCCAGATGCCCAGGCGGCTCATGTAAATCATGTTTTTTGGCTCAGAGGCACCTGTGTGAACAGAATTCACTGTCAGCAAAACCACAGCAGTTGTGAATAGTTCTGACTTGAGTAAAGTGAACTCTTAAGAGGACGCTCATTTGCCATCATGCCTCAGGAGACCCAGGGATCTCTCCACACATTGCCCTCCACACACGAAGTGGACAAGCACCATCATACAGCTGAACAGCCACCCAGGAACAAGTCAGACTGGAGAGAAATCAGTCTGACTTCTCAAAAAGTCCCAAGCAACAGGGGGTGATGGGGTTCAGGGCAGGTATGAGTGCCCCAGGCTCCCCTCCAGCATCACAGGACCATTCACCTCTTCTTGCACGGACACGTACTCAGTGCAGGCACCCACACCTCAAGGGCACCCTCGGATCAGAGGTGACAGCGACTGCTGACGCACAGCGCCCACACGACGTGAGGGACACTTACCTGTGGCACTGGCATAAACAACCCTTGCTCGAGGCAGCTTGTTCTGCAGGTCCAGCACTGCTTTGCCCATTTTAGTAGAGCTGGCGTTTTTGGCTTTGTGGCATTCATCAAACACAATCTGGAAGGGAATGTCAGTTAAGGAGAAAGGATCTATTTCAATCACGAGGATGGGAGCAGACAGAAAACATAACCCAGCCTCTTCCAACCGCCTCAACAACCAGGCCCAGAATCAGTGGCACCGACTCAGCCCCACACCACAGGAAATCTCTTGGTTCTGTCCAGTCCACTGCTCCTCAGGGCCCTCCCTCTCCCTTCACGTTCAAAGTGTGTTGTGTCTTGTATTGCTGAGGGAGAAGAATGCTGAAAAGGTTCATCCCAGCTGCTTCTTCCCCTCCTCCCGTTAACGCTGCAGCCTGTGGAGGAGGAGAGAGGAGCAGAGCGTGGAGGGGATGCTGTGCCTCCAGCATTTAAACAGCTACCATGGGCACCAGGCTGCTCGGCACAGCTGCTCCCAGTGACTTCCAATGGCCCCAAGCTCTTTGTTCCCTGGTGGAATACAGTCACAACCACGCAATTCCTCTCTCTTCAGTTTGTTGGTTTTTTTAAAAGGATACAACTCCATCAAAATTTTCCCTGCACCAGTCCAAAATCTGTTTTAAGCGCGTCCTGTGCTGCCCGCCTGCCTGGCTTTCACCGATCAGCGCAGAGTAAGTGGCAAAGAGGACTCCTTCTGAGGTAGCTGTGTCGCCATATTTAATCTGCAAAGGAAAGACAGAGCATACGTGTCATGATGCGCGTCCCCGGTGCGGTCCACCCATCCCCTGCCCACAGCCGAATCCCCAGTGGTGCTGTGACTACAGAACACGCGGCCCTGCCTCAGCGAACAAAACCCAACCCAAGAGCAGAGCAGACAGAAGGCTGTTGGTAGCTGATGTCTTCAGCCCTTCGATTTGGCACCGATACGGCAATGACAGGGACTGTAAATGTCTGGACGAGTTCCACCAGCCAATGTGCCAGCACATCTGGACACACCGAAATGGGGAGACCACGCTAGGACTTCCATTTTACAGCCAAGTGAAGCCGCTTCGTTTATTTAAGCAACCATTTAGAATGTTTAATTGTTTTGAACCCTCCCATCTGATTTAATTACTTCTAGAAAACAGCTTTCTCTTTGACAAGGTGAGATTGTTGCCTGTCTTACTGTCATGGGGCCCACCTGTAATGAAATGACAGGTAGGGGAAAAGCCCATGGTCTCAACCTGAAGAAAGTCCCATTTAAAGCCTTTCTGGTATGAAAACAAACATCTCTTTCAGGCTTTTAATGGAGGGCATTCAGAGGTGTCAGACACATGTGGTTTCCAGTGACTTTGTAAGAGCTGGTTGTTCAACACCATTAAAAACCAGAGGAGAGTGTTGGAGTGAACTGCAGACACCAGCCTGGACAAGAGCCTAAAGCACAGCTACAGGAACCCTGTGAAGAGCCACCACACAACTGCTGGTCTTTTCTTTGGTGAAATGCTTCATCCTCATCACTGAGTAACTGGGGAAAAAGGCTGAAAACTCTCATTTGCTCAGCTGGGGGGAAATGCCCATGTGCTCAGCCATGGCACCACACGTCTGCAGTCCCTGCCCAGCACCAATCTGGGCATTTACACGCGCTCCCCTACTTGCACGCTCCAAAAAGTGCTTCCATGAAACCAGCGCTGGGAAACGTTATCCCAGGAGAGCAGAGCATGGCCCCATCCAACAGGAGCTGTTCCCTCTGCAGGGCTCTTCAGGAATGGCAAGAACGGTTCAAGGCCTGCTGTTCTCTATGCTTGCCTGGAGACACCTCTGCAGGAAACAGCTCCGTGCTGGCAGCGCGGCTCTGCAGAGCACGCAAAAATAGCAAGAGACCGGGGTGGGCAGAGCACAGCGAGATGGGAACAGGGAGCAGCTTGCTGCCTGCGCTGCACGGGGGCAGGATCGACTGCAGCTTTACGTGTTAAGGTGGATCCATCCGACTGCCCTTGGGGCTGGGTTTCCAGAACACCACCACCACTTCTCTCCCTTACCTTATTCAAAGCATGCACAGGAATGTGGGAGGCTTCGATGTCCTTCAGGTCTCTCTCAGCATCATACTTGAGATCATTGGAGACGCTGAACCTGCAATGCAAGACATGGGTCTGGTATCTCCTGAGGAGTCGGGGTGTGCACGGTGACGAACAGCTCTGACTAAAGCAGCCGTAGGTGTGCAGAGCTGTTGCATTTCCAACTGCCCACACAGCTCAGCATGGGATCCTCCAGTAGGCTCCAGTCTGTTGCTTCTGAAAAGCTGAGTGTGTTCTGCAGCAAAACCCCACTGAGGGGCTTGAGGCTGCACCCAGGAAGCCCACGAATGCCCCAAATACCCCTCTGACTTCCTCAAAGAGAGCAGGGACAGGCCTGGCACTGCACTCCAAGCAGCACATAATCTGCTATTTCATGGTGACTCACTCTCCATCACTGCTGCAGGGGAAATATTCACATTTCACAGAGAGCAAACAGGCACAAAGAGGTGGAAACGACTTACCCAAGGCCACAGCATGAGTCAGCTGCAGAGCCAACATCAGCACTAAGGAATTCCTTACTCCCAGATCCAAACTAACTCCAAGGTCTTACGGGAAAAAGAGAAAAAAATAAAACAACCAACTTACCACAGAGCTTTTTTCCTCCCTTTGAGATAATTTTCAAAGATGATGCCCGCAACTGTCCTGCCCTTTCCAACTCCAGCACCGTCCCCAATGAGGAACCCAGCTCGCTGCCCATTGGGTAATAAAACTTCATGTTGCTGCAAAATCAAGAACAGAACTGGAAATTAAACTAGATTTGCCTTGGCTAGCAGCTTTCATGTGACTTTATAAGAGCACCACTTAACCCTTTCACGTATTCCATCAACCAAGGGCATTTCCTGCTCAGATAAACAATGGCAGGAATGGTCAAGTGTCACAGCCAAGCTCATAGGAAAGGCTCCCAGGCCCCCAAAACAGAAAGCACTCCCCTCTGCAATGAAAGTTAAGGGTTGTTGCCTCTTTGGTAAACATGAGGCAAAACTCAGAAGTCCTTGGCCTCAAATAATCCTTTCAAAAGGCATTTAAAGCGCCATACGCCAATGCTTCTGACGTTTCTTCACCTATACTACAGGTTATTTTAAACCCCCCTGGAACACCTGTCCACACCAAAGTCAGTTATTCCCAGTGCAAGCCATGCAAGCTGGGCGAGTGGAGTCCCCACCTGGCAGGCGTAGATGATGGCTTCCAGCTGTAGTGCAGAGAGTGACCCTCTGTCGGCAACGGAGCGTGGCAGGGCCAGGCTGTAGGTGATGTCAGGTGGGGGGACGCTGGACAGGGTGCTTGTTTCCACCACCAGGTCAGGGTGGTGCTTCCCAATCTTGGCTAAATGACAACACAGAAACAGATAATGCAACGTCCTCGCTCCCACAGGCACCTCAAAAAGCTCTGCAGACCCCGTATTAATTGTCCATTGCCTCTGCTCAGGGACAGAGGAGACAAGCCTGACCGTTGCTCTTCATGCTGACATTCACATTGCCAGAAACAGTCACATCTCCCCCAAAAGCAAGCAACAGGAAAGTACTCTGTTAGATTAGCGCAGCACCAACAAAGATCAGTACAGCGGCAAAGATTTTCTAGAAAATCACACGCTTGGGGTGTGCCACAGCAAGCACCATACACTGTTTGCAGGAAAGTAAAGGAACACTTAATTGGGTTGGTCCATAGCGGAGTTAACAGAACTTCCCATGCTCATGTGATGGCCACACACTCACATTTTGAAGGTACATATTCTGCGTAGGTCTCCGTTTGCCCCAGCTCTTCTGTTTCTTCCTCCTCACCTTCATCCTCCTCCTCTGCAGGAGCCTGAGACTGAAAAGAAACACAGCATTGACCAAACGTTAATGATCTCATGAACTACAGACAAACGCAGTGCTACACAGTGCCAGAAATCACCACTTCAACCATCCCTGTGCAAATTCACAAACCCTGCAAACACAATTCACCCCATTTACAGACTACAGCAACATAAGGAAAATCGTCTGTGAGAGCCCACCCCGGCGCCCAGCAAGTGCTTGAGGAGCCACGTCCAGTGCCCAGTCCACACCAAGCTGGGGAAGGACGTCTGGTTTTGCAGGACAGGCCTTTACGTGATTTTTCAGAGGGGCTGGGGGCAAGCATGAATTCTGCCCCACTGTGCTCTCATCTGGCCCAGAGCAAGGGGCCCAGCCCAGCTTTAACCTCAGCAGCGTGAAGCAAAGCCGTGTAATTCCAGGAAGAGCAGCCCCTATGGACTGTAAAGAAAGCTCAAACCATTCCACCAAGGGAAAGACAGACACGGGTGGGAAGGGGCAGGGATTGTGTCTGCCTGATTTTCTTGTCCCGCTTCATCTGAGGGGAAATGGCCAGAATCGCTTCCCTCTGCACTGCAATGCAACCAAGCACCCGGTGTCAGACCCTGCTGGAGCCAACCCTCGCTCTCACCTGGTAGCTTATGAGCAGCGGTGTGTTGTGGACAGCAGGAACATGGTCACTTGAACTGTTCAATCCGGGGAAGGATCTGCTGGGGGAGAACAGCTGCAACAGAAAGGGTGCAGGTGAGAAAGCAGCCTTAGCCCTCAGCCCTGCAGCCCAGCCAGCATGAGAATATGACAGCAGTAAAGATAGCAGTGCTCTGCAACCAGACCTTACACACTAGTGTTGTCAGTGGACTTCAGTACTTTGTGAACAAAAAGCCCCAGGCAATAATTCTGGAAACAAATAATTCTTGCAAATGCCATACATGCCTTTGTCAGCACACACAGGAATAACTGACCGAGGCAAACACAGTCTTGCAAGAAGCGTCAACATTTTGGAGTCACGCTGGTGAGTCCAACCAAGAGCTCTGGGTTGGGTTTGCTAAGGGAAGAGAACCAGCACGGCTTTGGGGACCAGCAGGGAGCCTGGAGTGCAGCTGAGCAGATCCAGACAGGGCAACGGGAAAGGCTGACCAGAACTGCGACCTAAAGGACCGAGCATTAAATCAGAACAGTGACACTTCTCATCTTCTAACAAACTGCCCTTGAGGCAAGCATTCACTTAGCTATGATTTTACGGTTCTGCAGTTTTGTCTTCAGCATTAAAGCCACTGGTCAAAGCAATGAGAGAACTGCACCAGAGCGGATCCCGTGGGCCAACATCCACCAACGGCCGTCCCGAGGTCAAGGACCGTCTCCTTTACCAAGACACCAAGGGTGCCCCTCAGGGTCTCTGCGCTCCTGGGGCCACTGGTGAGGACCCCCACGACAGAGAGCGGCCAAAGGGGCTCAAACCGCACTGAGATCCCCTCCAGGCTGCACAGGGGCTGGACACCGGGTGCCAGTGCGGTGTCAGGGTTAGTGATGGCTCTGGCCCAGCAGAGCCCAAGGCCTCCCAGCTGGGCAGGCACCACCAAGGAGATCCTTGGCCTCTCTCCGCGCAAACAAAATCACGCTGGAATTTCCCAATAGCGAGCAAGGTCAAGCCAGCAGCTTAGCAGCATCCAAAGCAATCGACAGCTCCAGAGGCAGCACTTCTTCAAGTTTACAGCCTGCAAAGAGTGCCAGACTGCAGAGACCCACGCTCCACCAGCAGAAGTTAGAGATGGGAAGTTCTTAAGCATAAACACTCCAATTATTTCCTTTTTTTAAATTAAAAAAAAAAAAAGAAGAAAGAAATAAACACCCTCCATTACTGGAAGCCTGACTCAGAATTACCAGAAGGAAGCTGGATGGAACAGCTATTTTCAGTGCCAACAAATCTGGAGAGCAGGTGAAACATCTCCACCTCCAAATCTTAGCTCAGGATACAAGTTTCTTCTCAGGCAAGAGAAAGGCCTGGATCTGCGGGAATGGGAATGGCAGCAAACGCTGCTCGGTCCCAGCTATGGAAGCGGATGCGGGGCTGCTTTTGCATCACAGTCTGCAAAGTATAAATCCCCGCTTGCCCAGCTGGGCAATGTGGCTGTGGCACACAGCACCCCAGGTACTGCAAGAGAGAGACAGAGACCTGAGGCGTTTGGAGCTCTGAAAATCCCCCTGCGAGCTGAGAGTGCTGTGAGGGGTAACACAGGCGGGAGCTGCAGTGGGTGATGCACTGTCCTGCCCCAGACTGAGCCTGGACAATCTCTTCCTCTCTCCACTCTCGCTCCACTCCCACGTTGATTTTCTCCTTCCCCTATGCTACACATCTGCAAACATCAACAGAAAAGTACACGTGAGAACACTGGAGTACAAGCAGGAGAGGCTCACTCAGCTCATTCAGCCACTGACAGTTGCACAATCAAGGACTTGGTCTTACTCCACTTTTTTCCTCTCTGCATTTTTCTCCGTTTTGCCCCTCCTTGCCGTGACTCCCACGGAAAAGGAGTGGTCCCACCTGGCTGACAACTCCCCTCTGCACAGGTTCATTCCCTATGCACTGAGCCAGGGGAAGGCTGCTCATGTTTGTAAAGTGCTGGGAAAGAG